CCGGCCCGGCCGGGCCCGGCGGCAGGTTCCCCGTGCGGGGGAGGCCGGGCAGCCTGCGCGGGGCCGGGGCTCCCCGAAGCGAGAGCCGGTTTGGGGTGGGAGGGCGAGAGCTGTGGAGGGTCCCGCGGCCTCCCCGCCCACGGCCCCGGGGGTCGGCACTGCCTGGGCCCCAGCCACGGGCACCCCCCGAGGCGTGTTAGTTCGGGGAAGCGGTGCTGCAGGGTGGCTGCGAGTGCTGAGTGCCAGGTCTCCCCCGCGCTCTACGGCTGCCCCAGTGGGGAGGTGCCATTAAAAATGCATCAGAATAAGGGGGGAACTTTTTGCAGTTGCCAAAAAAGCTGTCACGCTGGGCCTTGGCGCTGGCCCTTCCATGGCTGGTGGAGGTCGCTCCCCTGCGAGGTCCTCCCCGGCCCGGTGTCCCCTGGGCAGGGACAGTGCTGCTGAGAGCAGCCCACATCCCCTGGACGGGACCTGGCCTTGGTGACTTATCGACACGGAGTTCCCCGGGAGGAAAACATCCAGATTACGCCTGAAATGGCATGAGCTGCTTTTCCTCATCGGGCTGATTTCCTGGCGCTGCTGGTAGCGCAGGCCTCATGCGCTTCATGAGTTTGATGTGGAAGCGGCGTTAGAAATTGACTAGACTTGGGGCTGGTGTTGGTAACCATTGCTTGAAACAGACGAATAAGTAACAAACAAGTTGTCAACAAACAAGTGACAATTTCTTGAAAAGTAGTTTCAGTGGTTTCTCTGTGACCTCACGAGCACACGAACTGCAGGCTGTCAGTTTCCTTCGGGAAACCTGAAGTAGGAAAGTTTAACTGAGAAATGGTGGGAAAACCAGAAGTAAAATAGGATTGTTGGTTACCAGTGTGTTCTGGTGGCTGCATCAGAACAAAACCAAAACATTAGATGGGTCATACAGTAACAAAATGTAACCTCTACTGAAAATAAAAAACTTATGCAATAAGTTTTGGAAAGCAACAGTTCCAGGCAAAAGAAAAATATACTTTAAAGAAACAGATGTAGTTTAATGTTCCTACCTACATTTCACTTCCAATGTAATAAAATAAAAGAGCTCTTGTGAGGGCTTGGGACTAAGTGATCATAAAAATCGTGTGACAGCCAGCAGAGAACCTGCCAGCTCTGGTGGGAGGCCTTTCCTGGGCTGAGCAGGGGCTGAGTTCTGGGATCCGACTGGTGAAAATGAGGAAGCTGAGCTTCCCCTGTCCTCTCCTGGGCTTGCAGGTAGCCATTTCTGGGACTGACTAATGCTTATTTGCAGAAGCTTGCTCAGCTTCAAAGAGGTGTGCACCACAAAGCAGTGCTTGCATTAAACATGCTTCATTATCAAATATATACTTCAGCTCTGTCAGAGTTGAGTTTGTGGCTGGAGACAGCAGGGTCCTTGCATTAGGAGAAGAAAACAGACCTCGAAGGACAGGCTAATATATTGTACTAATTACACTCTGGTATTTGTGTGTCCTGTGTGGTGTAAACTGGGTGAGTGATTAGAGATCACAGAGCAAAATTGAAAGCTTGTAATTCCCCCTCTAGAAAGAATTTGTGGTGGTATCGTTAGGTGGGAAATAGAATCATAGGAATAGGTCTGGAGAAGGAAGGAGGTCAGAGTCCTTTTTTTCTTAAATCACAGCAAAAAACCCCACCAAAAAACTTGTGAAGAATGTGAAATTACAATAAAGGTTACTCTTTTCCTTCCTTTGAAGCAAAACATAAGACAAGTTGTACTACAACCTCTGCCTTTTTTTGGTTTTGTTTTTTTTTATCAGCAGATGCAAAGATCTGAGAGCCCCCTATGGCATAAGGGTGTCTGAGGATGTTCTCTCTTCCCTTTTGTACTTGCAATAGGGCGAGTGTGTGATTTCCAGGCCCTGCGTGGAGTTACTCCGGGGGGTGATCTCGCTTGGATAACAGTGTTTTCAACCTCTTGTGTGTTGCTGACCCACAGCTTTGTGCCTGGAAAGCTTTGCCCATATTTAGTTTCAGGTCCACCGCCTGATTTAAAACTTTCAGTGACTTTTGCTAGGATTTTATGAACTTGCTTCATTGTTCCTACAGGCGTGGGTACCCCAACCCAAAAGCTTATGCTGTGCATTCCTGCCGTGCTGGTGTTTATCAGGGGTGTGCGGGAAGTAATAAACATAAACATGCTTGAGTTTTGTGCACCATCAGCTCAACTCCCAGGCACATAGTTTGAAAATTGGATTAGCAAGAGCAGTCTTTCACCTTCTAAAATTACTTATGCTGTTATATCAAGTAGTTATAAACAAGTAAAATAAAGTATTTTATTAGCTCTTTTATGCTGTGTCTGCAGTAAGAAATTATAGGGTTTACATTTCTGATGCTGATAAAGTTTTCCAGGAGGTTACTTTATGCAGCTATAAATCAAAGGTTACCTTTCAGATTGCCTCTGAAAACTATATAATAATTAAGATGTGGAGCTCTGCTTCTCTAAGGTTAAGTCCCTTGGAGGTTTGGTTTTTGTAGTAACAATTTAACTGCACCTTTCTGTCCTCTCCTCTGGAAGCTGAACTGATAGAAAATAACCAGACAGCCAGTCTCCAGGAAGCTGAGAGAAGCTGAGGTGGAGGGACAAACTGGACTTCAATCATAGGGTTTTATTGATGAAACAGTGTTTATCTGTAATACTGAAGCTCTAAACCACAGTTTTGCTATATTAAACATTAAAAAATCAGGGAATGATCTTAGATTCTTCTTTCCTCATCTGATTTAAAAAAACCAAAGTCTTGCAACAAGCTACTGTACTTCTGCTGGTAAGGCTCCAAAAAGTGCAGGTAGGGAGCGGTAACAAATGTGAGTGAATGAGCAATATATTCTTGTAGCACTTTAAGCACCTTAAATTCTTCAATAGCCAGTTTATTTTAAGAGAGTGCTCTCTTCTTTTAGACTCTGTCACCCAGTTGTGGCTCTGTTGAGCACCATTTCTGTTCTCAGTCACTCAGAATTCATTCTTTTTCCAGCTTATCTCAGCTGTTAGTGCTTTCTGCATCTACTTTCTGTGTTGCTCTACATGAAGGAGTGTAAGGAGTGACACGCTGTGAAGGTGACCAGCCCTGTCTCCTTTGGGACCATGTGGGCAACGTTTGGTCACCTCTGGAGAGCAATGCTGGTAGTCAGCATCTCCTCCATTTCAGTGGTTAGCATCTTCTTTGTAGAGCTGAACTAAACTTCCTTTTCTGTCCTAGACTGAAGTAGCAAACACTGTGCATCTGAACTGTGCTAGCCACTGTCTTTTTTTAATTGACAATTAACAGATGACAAATCTTTTCTAGACCTTCCTTTTGGCTGGGGAACGAGACCTTGAAAGTGCCTGTAGCGCTCTTTGCCTTGAACAGAAGACGACTGTGTGATCGCCTGAAACAGAACAAGGATGTCCAGAGGAATTCGATTGTTCTGCTGCAGGGTGGAGAAGAAACCCAGAGATACTGCACAGATACTGGTATCGTGTTTCGCCAGGTGAGAGCTGGATTAAAACTTCAAATCAAATTAAGAAACTCTCTTCAATTGCATGAATTTTTAAACAATTTTTAATTATTTTCCCTTTATCTCTCAGGTGTGCATTGCTTGCTTCACTTAAATAAATTGGCTTGCTTCTTACATTGCCTCTTCAGCTTTGAGTTCCTCTCTCTTTCAGTGCTTTAGTATGCAGGCTCATTATTCAGTTTAAAGGGCCGAAACCTGTTTGGGGCCCTGCTGCCTGCCAGTATTTAATGTAATAACAGAGACAGCAATGGAATATTTCTTAGTTTTTCAGTCTTTTCTGTGACCCAAAAAATAACCTTCTTTCTGTAGTGAAACATATTACAGTGGACCTAAACTGAATTTATTCATATAAAAGCTTAAAATACACTTTCCACAAAGCAGGAGGTATTTTAGAATTTACAACATGTGTCTTCTCAAATGAGACGACTCTTTAAGTACTCATGTGTTCTCCTGTCACAGATAGGACTTAATAACTTGCTAATGTCATGCCGAATGCGTTCTTAGTCTTTGGGAAAGTTGGCATAACAGAACTCTAATTATACATAACCCTCAAAGCTGTGTGCTCGACGTGGCTGCCACAGCACTTTGTTCTGTGAATTTATTGGAGCTGTTGCATGTTATGAAGAAACAAAACCTATAAATTCTGATCTAGATAGCACTTATCTTAATGTAGTTAATGGTGTGTTTTTAGAGGAGATGCACCTGTCAGAGTGTGTGGCTGTCCTTACCAGAGTTCATCTCACTGTTGTTAAGTGTTTTGCTGTTTGCTTGTTTGCTCTTAAAAACCTCTTGCTAAAGGCTGTTCCTGGTACAGCTTCCTCTTCTCAGGGGAAGGCTGGGTCTTCCCTTCAGCACTCACTTCACAACCCCATGAATCCACACTCTGCTTTTGCCTCGTGTGACATGATTGTTTCTTCCTGGTACTACATTCCCTAATCTGGGATTGGAACACTATGTTTTATTGTATGATGTATATGTATGTGCTGAGTTGACCTGTTTATTTCTCGTGGTAGCTTATTAATCCCTGATCCTTTCCAGTTGCCACCAGAGGGATTTGTATGACTGTAACCTAAAACTAATCAATCTGAAAAGCTTTAGATCCCGCCTCCAAAAGCAAGAGAGATCTCTTTCAGATACATGGGAGTACATACTGTACATACTGTAGAGTATTTTTAAAGCTGGTAGAAGTGAGGGTTTTCTCATAAATATATTTTGTCTTTAACCTAGGAATCTTACTTCCACTGGACTTTTGGGGTGACTGAAGCAGGCTGCTTTGGAGCAGTAGATGTTGATACTGGAAGATCCATGCTTTTTGTCCAACAACTCCCTGAGAGCTACGCTGTTTGGATGGGGAAGTAAGATATACCTTTTCACTGTGTTCCGAGGTATCTGGGTACTCTGGGTAGTATGCCTGGCTGTAGAGCTAGAATAATGTCTCATTTTAGTCAGATTCCACCAAATCATTCGCTGTGATTGTAGTGATATGTACATACAGAGGTACAAAACGTGACCAGTTGGGTTTGATCATATAATACCAGATGATCTGCCACCATTTGGTGGAGAGTACATTTAGAATCCCAACCTGTGGATCCCGTGGTATGTGTGACAGGAAGCTGAACCCTAAAGCAAAGCAGAAGTCTTGTGTTAAGCCAGACCAAATTAAATAGTAAAGCGGGCTTTTTCAGGTTGCTTCACCAGTTTGCAGCCGCCTTAGCTAATGAAGCCTTATGAGTGGCAGAAGGTAGTTTAGCCTCTTTTCATCTCAAAAAAAGATATCAACTGACAGACTGGGGAACATAATTTTAATTCTCTTCTGTTAGTGTGCCATAAACATCTCTCCTTCTATCCATATCGGTAGTAAATATTGCTCAGTGCTGTAGTAGTGGAGGAATTGATTTATTTATGTGTTCATTTCTTTTCTCAGTCTTAATTGTATTTATACCCTCTAACAAACTGTAATTTTTTTTTCCTGTCTACGTTGTCTCAGAACATTGGATTCCTTCTAATTTAATATTTTGAGCTCAGGTTGCTTCGCTTCTAATTGAAGCTATCACTTATATTTTAATGCTAATTTTGGGAAAAGGCAAACAATCGCAACCAATGGCATATGCTGAGCTGTGCCAGAACATATGGTGGGGCATGGCTGCTGTCTTCTCCGGGAGCTTGTGTGAGTATTGCTGTCTCAGGCCTGCCTGGGAACTGAAATGCTTTGTGATAGCAGTATCCATATTTTTATGCTATGTGCAGTATTTGAGGTGAGAGCTGCGGCTGGCTGGGAGGAGAGGTTCTGGTTAACCCCCCCGTGTACTCTCTGAAACCTCTTCCCTGGTGGTTCTTGTTCCCATTTATAGACAAAGCTTTTTCCTCCTCCCAAGTTCTCTTCTGTTAGTTCACATCAGCTGATTGTGCCTCATCTGAAGAGGCTTCAAAATATTATTGAAGCTCCACTGTGTCATTTTGCATTTTTGAACAAAATATTGTGGTGTTTATAGATGGTGGCCTCTTTGATTTGTTTGTGCAGCACTCGTTACTGGTTCATTTACACAATTACAAGTCTGGTTAAAAATGGTTTATTATTGTCCTTATGTCTTCTTGCTCTTCTTGTTCTATAACAAATTGTCTTTATTACAGCATACTTGTTTTCTAAGTTCTCCTCCTCACCCTTCCTGAATCCCTCTGTTCGAATCTTTATTTTCCCTTCTGTCAGCCTTGGTCATGTACTTTTTCTGCCTGTCAGGAGGAGGATGGATGAATAACTCATCTGTGAGTCAGTAGCAGTTCTGCTTCATAAGCTGGTTGGCAGGGGGTACTGCACACAGCTAGGGCTTGTGTTCCTTCCCAGAAGACTCAATTTTAAGTCAAAACTAGCACTGAAAGAAAAACACAAATAAGTTTGCCTTCCATCTACTGCTGTTTATCTACTGTAGTTTGCTGTGGAAATGCTTGTTTCTGTGCACGCAGAAGGCACTGTCTACCCACTGAAGAGACATCCATTTAACATGGGTGAAGCACAGATCAGTTCCAGGCCTCGCTGGGTATTTTGAGGTTGGTGTTTTACAGAGACCCACAGCCCCTGTGCTAGTCGATCACACGGGGTGCAGGGCTCTGCCTGCTGCTCCCATCCCCTCCTGTTTAAGGCAAGTGTGGGAATCTGCCATGGAGTTTAGGCAGAAATGCATCGATTTATTCTGCATAAAATGAATGCAGAAGGCTCTTTACTGGTACTTCACTACCAGTGTATTGCTGGATGTGGTGTTTGATGTACTGTTGTGCCTTCACTTCTGAAGGTCACGTATTTGGGTGGGTTTGGAAGCGTGGCTCAGGTAATGTGCCATGATAAAGTGGGGCTTCTTGGCTTCTTTCAAAGTGCAGCCTTAGTGTGGCCCAAACCAAGGAGGTGTCTGGGAGCACTGGGAGACGAGCAGACTATTGGTTTATAAATGAGACCATAACCCCTGTAGTTTTTTCAGTCTCACCAACTGCTCGTGTTTCCCAGAAGGGTTTGGGGCACTGGGGTGGTGCCTGGGACACTGAAGAAGAGGTGAACGTGGAGATGATGGATGCAGCACCCCGGCTGCAGTCTGCCAAGGACCCAGCTCTGTGTCCTACCACGTTAAGGGTGACTAACACGTCTTTGGAAGCGTTACTCATCTTGTAGGAAAGCCTTCTTGGTGAGCGTGTATTCTCTAAAGGTTTGTAAGTACCTGTAAGGCTACCTTTTAGGAGTCCTTCAAGCCAAAACAACCTCTGCAGTTTCAAAAGGGAGGAGAGATTTGATTTAACTCACAGAGTAAGGACATTCTCCCCAAAAGCCACAATGTCTGAAGGGGCAATGGCAGAATTGTTATGAGGGTAATTGTAGGACTGGTGCTCCTACTTTGGTGTGGGGAAGGGATTGCAACAGCAGTTATCTGTTTTTAAATGATGAGCGTGAGCATTTCTGCTGCTGCTGCACCAGCCCATTTCTTCATTGTTGGCTGGGAAAATCTTCCCAACTAAGAGCAGCTTTCCCTCTCTCTCATCTGTACCTCTGCCCCTGCCTGTTTGAAACAGGCTCACAGCATGGCTTAGAGCCTGAGCTTTTGCACCTCTGAAGTATTTTTCTATTCTTAGTTTCGGAGGAAGAGTTTAAGAAATGAATCTGGGAATGTAAGATTGTAAAGGCTTCAGAGGCACAACTGCAGTAACTGCCCCTCTGCCTCTTACCTGGTGGAGCGTGTGTGCAGGGCTGGGAGCGACCGCTTCTCTGCCCAGGAAGCATTAAGTTGGTGTGACTGCGTGTCTTGCACAGAGACTTCAATTTCGCTAATTAATGCTGCACCTGCCATTTACCTCCTTAATTATAAATGACAGAACTAGTCAGTGTGCTGATTAAAGATATTTTATAAAGTAAAACATACTGTACAGCAGCTGCTTTACGTGGAGTGGATGCCAAAATAACTTAATTGCCTTGCCACGTAAAGAGTGTTTTTAATGGAAAACAAAAATATTTAACGCTTTCATGCTCTAACTTTAGAAATACATACTCAGTGGGACAGAACAATATTTATATGCAATTTCCTGTGTTTTCTTCAAAGCCCTGCTGGCTGATTGGTAAGTATAGCAACACTAATCTAGCCTTGCATCCACTGGAAGTAACATTTTCCATGAAGTTGATGGGAAGCTAGCTATATTTGAGAAGTTGAATCTTGGTGTGGCACTTTGGAGCTGTAATAAACCGCAATGAAACACTTTATGAATGTTAATCATTTCTCAGTGACCTAATGAGGAAGCTCCTTAAATACTGCCATCATTTTCTAAGTAGGCTGCGACCAAAGTCAACCTTTGGTTTTAGTGATTAGACTTGACTGACTTCAGCAAAGCTGTGAAGTTTTACTGCCTTTGGAAAAAAGTGCAGAAGTCCATGGTTGTTTTTTTGTTTGTTTACGTTTTTTCCTCAAAACTTTCTGTAAAAATAGTTATTTTGGCTTTTACCCTTTTTTTTTGTCTCCAGTAGACTGTATGTGGCCATGAAAATGCCACGTACAGCTAGGAAGCCAGCAAATGTCTTTCTGGATTTCTTTTCCTTAATAGGCATGGGTAAAATTTTGTGGCATTTGTCTTTTGAGTAACTGAATATTAAAGTGTGTACATCTCTGCTGGTGGCTGAGGCTGGTGCCATAGTTGGCTGTAGGTCTGGCCAGAAAAAGGCAAGGTCTGTAGAGAGCCTGTTCTGTGCAAGCTGAACTTTGAGGCAGCTCTTTGGAAAGGTGGTGGGATGTGTGTGTGTGCTGTAGGAGAAACTCGAAATCACCTTACCTGCACTCCATGATGCAGATTTTGCAGGAATGAAGGACATTTTTTAAATTAGTTTTACTGATGATGTACGTGCAGGTTATCTCCTCTGTAGCAGCTCTGGAGCTGTGCTCAGCACACTCTGGAAGGGTCTTCTGTTTTAGCTTCTGAACTCATCTCATGGATCATTCTCTCATATTTTTTCTTGTAACTTTTTCTCTAAAATGAAATATGTTTAATGTTTTCTTTTTCTCTGTCTATCAGTCTGATCCCTTCCTACAATTTGTCCCTTCCCTCTACCCACTGAATCTTTATTTTGCTGTTTAAAAAACCAACCCACCACTTTTTAATCACTTTAGGTCATCTTATTACTGTTTTGTACCAACTGGCAATTGCAATTTATCTGCAAAGTTCGTTGCCACCTGCGAATGCCATCTGTGGATCTCGTGAACATGTTCAGTCCTGCTTCTGTTTCTGAATAGCATCAGAACTGATTCCAGTCTTTGGAGCCTCCTGCTAATCAAGGCTTGCAGGCCATGGCTGTTTGTCACTTTAACTTCTGAGAACATCAGCCTAAATTGATGCAGCACTTTTCAGTGTGGCAGTTGGAGGGTTTCCCAGCCCTCAAAAAGCTCATCTTTTTATCTCTTTATTTATTTTTGTTTTCTGCTTTAGGCCTTTCACTTTTTTATTACAACTAGTCATTGGGTTTCGGGTCACATCGTAGTGTTCCTGTCCAAGCCAATTTGAGTTGATTTTGGAGAGTAAGTCTTGAGAGAGATTTTTATCAAATATTTTTCTATTATTCAGATAGTACATCTGTTGCTTTACCCTTCATCTGATCCTTTGAAAACTGTACAATAAAGCTGGTTGCTTTTGATTGACGAGACTTACTCGTGCAGTTCCCCACGGTGCTTATTTTCCATCATTCCAGTTCTCTCCATAGTACGGTGATTTCCATTTCTGGTCTCCCATTCAATTATTACAATATTTCTCTGTGGATAAAAATTACTTTTACAGAATAATTAGTGTCTGGATTGCTCTTGCCACTTTACTGATGATTGTTTTTCTCTAAACAGTG